AGGCAGCCAGTTTGAATGGTGCACGTGGTTTCAGAAAAACTGCTTCAGTACTCGTATTCGGTGGTAATATACAATTTTCAACCGAACAGTGACTCGAGAACGTTTAGATAGAGCTGAATTTCCACCATAGGCGAGGTGCTGTATAAGTCGAAAAATAAGTATAAACAGAGTAGGAATAAAAGAGGGTGAATAATGACGTAGTAAATAATAATAATAATAATAATAATAATAATAATAATAATAATAATAATAATAATAATAATAGCAATAATAATAGTTGAATCATTTGAATGTTCGTCGAAGCAAGGGAATTAGTTTCCATGATCATAGACAGTTCAGTTCATTAATTGTGTGTGGGCTGCGATACTGCTCGGGTGCCCGAACCGAAGCAGGTGGTTATCTTAGGGGGCCACACCCCGAGCCTTTGACCTAATGGTCTAACCCACAAGGCAGTGGAGCATCGTGAGGAGATGCGGTCCCATGGTAGCCGGTGACCAACGACTGGTTCATACGCCATTTGTTCCCTCAGGATACTGGAGCCCATGTGCACCATTGTTTTGAAATCCAGTTAAAGCGCCGGACATTCGCTTTTCGTCCTCTCATTTTCGTAAACAACACCCCCACCTCGAGAAGGCAGTGAGTAGGACTTCCCTGGCAGAGGCTGCATACGCGTGGTCATGTGAGAGCATTTTGAGAGGGAGGGCGAACCCACGCCGCTGTCCGCCAGACCACGGAATAACTATCTGTTCATTTATTATTCAGTTTTCAAATTCAACCATATTTACGGTGATTGGCTATCAAATATCACTACTTTAAAAGTATCCGAACTGCTAGAGGTATTACTATTGAGTGTCGAACGTTTGTGCACCTAGCTAATAATTTCGAACTTCAACTTCAGTGCCAATAAACGAGTATGCTTCCTGTTTTCTTATACACTGACCATTAACTGAAAGCAAAAGTCCGAGTTGAGAGAAACTCAAAATTAACCCTTTGAAGACATTCATTCACATACAAACCTAATCATAGTGCTTATTATCGAAAGACTGTCATTTTGAACGAAATTTATACAAAGCTAATACATATGAACATTTTAATTAGTGGAAATCACATTCGAATCAGTACATAATTTCACACTTAATTTCATCCTAATAAAATTGTATTTGAGGACAGTATCTGTCAAACTATTTCATACTATGCTTCCACAATTAAGAACACTAGTTTCGTCTAGGAGAATTGAAGAACTTGTGTCGAACTGTACTTGTAGTATTTGATCACCTGATTACTTGAAATATTACCACCGTTTTTAAATAATGTCGTTACTAACACTTTTGAACAAATAATACGTGATAGACGTTATCAGGTACTCTTTTGACAGGTGACTATCAGTGTATATATGTTGACAGTCATGCCTCCTTCTAACTATTTATGCAGGAAAGATAAATAATCATTAGACCAATTGAGTAACTCCGACTATAAATTTAATTTTTTGATTCTTAATGCGATTGACAACTATTTCGTAGCAGTAATAACCAACAGTGTTGTTTATTGTTCACACAAACTACCATGACTAATATTCAAGGCCCTACGTTATTAAGGTATAGGTTTCAACCTTTGTCAGTGTTGTATTCGTTGACAATTTCCAGTGTTCAATATCACTCTTTAGTTTCTTGATATTTGAATTTTGTTTACGTCTTTTCGTTCTTTAATCGTATGTACTTCTACAATTTTATTTCTCAATTCTAATCACTTATGTTACTGCGCATATTAGATTAACTAAATGTTTCATTTTTTTATCATATCGCAGATGCCATTCATAACTTATGTATAGCCTATTACCTTTTCGACAAAAAAGAAAACATCCTGAATGCATATTATTATCTTGATTTAACAGTTAATAAAGTTTCATAGTCTTACAGAAGCCCAGTCAATTTTTTTATCCGAACTAATTGGAATTACTAAAGCAAATGAGCTCAACTACATCTATTTTAAATTGTAACATTTTTTATCAGGTTTTATTGCTTGTCGTATACATCAAACTCCGAGAGAATTTTCAAATATTTCTCGAGTGAAATCAAGAAACTCTCCACGGATTCGTCGGTTACATAGTTGTGATTCACTTGTATCCAGTAAAATACATAGTGATTCAGATCGTAATCGAAATCGCTCCTCTGAAACAAGTTCAGTTGTTCAAAAGATCAAATCCTCTAAATGTATCGGTTCTGCACCAAAAAAATTAATTCATGGTTCTGGAATCGGTTTAAACGTAGCTCACTGCTGTGCATGTCGAAGTGAATTGTATAAGGCGATTAACTCTTCGTTTCCCTCTTCATTGAATTCACTGATCAGAGATGGGACAAAAATTTCACAATCATATTTAAATTTTGTTCAAAGTCATCTTTGGGTGTATGGATCATCTTTGTGCTCATTTAGTTTTAAACTGTTTGGGTTTCCTCTCAGGTTACAAATCAAATTTCTAATATATGTTATTTCCAGGTAATTAGTCTTTATAATAAATAACGGTTTTTCTGTATGTAAAACTTAATTCTAAGTATACTAAATCTTGGCATTTCATTCTTTTTTCATTACAATAAATACTTTAAATTTGAAAATATAGTTTTCTAAGTTATATTCTCACGTTCAATAAATTTTTTATTATGAGTGAAAATCAAAACTTGATGTAACAGGACTTTATAAAATCCACTACCCAGAGAAAAGTAGCAAATTTGAAGGAAAATCATCAGAAGGGATGGCGCAACTTCGTGGATTGGTTGAAGTTAGACATTAACACCGTTGGATGCCGGTTCGGTGGTCTAATAGTTAAGTGCTCGCGCGCGAAACCAGTAGTTCCTGGGTTCGAATCCCACGGGGTGCGGGACCGTGGATGCGCACTGCTGAGGACTCCCACTCTAGGACGAAACGGCCGTCCAGTGCTTCCAGGTTTCCCATGGTGGTCTAGCTTCAACTGACTGATGATTTCAATCTGTTGAAGGAAAATCATTTGAAAAACTGACAAACAAAACAAAAGAATAACTAAATATGCAACTAAAATAAGTGTTACCTAGTTTTAAGGTGTGCTACTTTTTTTACGAAAAATGAAACTGCAGTGAAATTGCCGAACGTTTCTTTTCTGTCTGATATATATATTCTTGCCTCAAACTAGGCTGTCACATTATCTTCAAGCTGTTGTCCAAAATTTTAGTGCCAATTCAATACATCAGTGGTTCATTCATAAATTCATTACATCTCAGCTTTATTGATGGCTAATAATTTATGGTGTGGATGTTCTAGTTTCATGTATTCAAGACTATTTTCAATCTGATTATATGGACATTATAAATATACGGTTTTTGAAAATGATTACACATAGTTTTCTTAACCAAAGAAATGGAATAAAATAAGTAAGAAACTCATGAGTCAGGAAGGAGAAAATAAATGAAGGACAATGAAAGTATCAAAATTTTTATCACCTGAACGCGGCTAAAAACAAGGGGCTAGCTAGTATAGCACAAATCTGTTTTGATTCATGTTGCCATATGTCACTAATTGATAATGATTTCAACAGTGGTAGGGAATCGAAAGAAACACGATGCAGATTATGTATAATAATATGATGTTTAAAATTTTAAGAGAAAACAATACTTTATAAATTTGCCTTCACTGCAATCAATTTTCCCTCAATAAAATGCTTAATTGTTGGTGATAATAATTTCATGGACACCGAAAAATTGTAACAGTAATTCGATAGCTAATATCACGAAAATTGATGGTTAAGTGTAATACCGTATTTAGGGCGAGAAAATTCTACTTTTAATGGCGTGATGTAATTGCCAGTTTTGAATATGATTTAATTTACAGTCTTTCGTAGACTATGTCAATTTGAACTGTTTTCTTGTACGAGTTGGTTTTCATTGATGATACATTTTTTTATTTCGGTGTTCTTTTTAGATGTGTAGGGGCTTTGGAACAATCCCATATTGGTACTTATCACTTACTCAGTTTATTGGATCTTTTAAAAGAGTCTCAGTGGTATCTTGAAACAATGAACGAAACAGAACAAACTTCAACTAGTACACTAAATAAATCAATTGGTAAAACGATACCAATGTCCTTAGATTCAGATGCCAGGAAGAAATGTCATCGATTTTCTACAAACAGTCACCCAGTTATTACAATGATAAATTCAATTTTTTGGAAGGGAGCTGATAGTTTAAGCGGTTTGATTTTACGATTAAATTCGTTTGACTTACCAACAGCCAGCGACTGTGGATTAGAATTACTATCTTACTCATTACAAAAGGTAGGTTAATTTAATTTTTTGACTGAAGATTATTAAATCATATTATAGACTTGATGTTTCGCGATTACGAAAAAGAGGTCAAGGATGTCACCGAATAAAATATCTATAGCTTATGATGATATTTTAATAGTACTTATATTCAAAGTTAGTCATTCTGTCAGCTACAACGTAGGACCAGGAACATGTATCCATCGGTCCAAGTTGCAACACCTCATTAGCACAATAAGATGAACATCAAATTCATAGAAGTAGTCACTTCAATGGAAGTAATGTGTAAAAGAAAGATTGTGTATAATGATATAGTACAAGAAGAAAGAATTAGAAAGAAAGGTGTAAAGCAATTTTAATCTCACGGTTTAAGGTGAGAAAAAGAGTGTATACACCTACGCCATTGTGATCGATTCTGAGCCATGTCACCCAGAGTCTCCAACCGAGTAATTAGCATCTACCAACATGGCTCAGACAAAACGTTAGTGACTTATAGACTTATGCCACGATTTGGTTTGGCCGCCCCTAACTTTCTTCCAATCATCCCTAACACTGGTCACAGCATCGCCCTTCCTGGTAATCGGTGTTCAGACATACTTCAGTGCATGCTTAACGGCGTCCGACAATGGTGGTCTTTCTTGACTTAAAAGCAGCATTTGACTCGGTAGACCGCGAGATTCTGTGGCAGTGTCTGTCGTTGAAAGGCGTACCTCAGAAGTACATAAACCTTGTGAAGGCTATCTACTCGAACACTACTAGTCGAGTCAGAGCTTATGGCGAACTGTCATCTGCTTTTGCAACCTAAAGTGGTGTCCGTCAAGGCTGTCCACTTTCTCCATTTTTGTTTAACTTCATCATAGATCTATTGATGGGAATAACATTCTCGTCGACTGAATTGTCGAGCATTGATCTCCTCACAGGAGGTCCACTTATCGACTTAGAATACACAGATGATATAGTCCTGTTTGGTGAAGACGCTGATAAAATGCAGAGTCTTTTGTTAGCACTGAGCAACAATGCCAGAATGTTTGGAATGCGTTTCTCTCCCTCTAAATGCAAGTCGTTGCTTCAGGACTGGTCTGTGTCAACACCTGAACTAAGGATAGGGAGTGAAGTAGTCGAAGACGTCGACATCTTCACTTATCTTGGAAGTCTGATCAGCCCTAATGGGTTGGTGTCTGACGAAATTTCAGCACGGATTCGAAAAGCTCGTTTGGCTTTTGCCAACTTACCTCACCTATAGTGAAGGCGAGATATCCGTCTATCAATAAAAGGACGAGTATACTGCGCGGCAGTCCGTTCTGTTTTACTTTACGGCAGCGAAACATGGCCATTAAGAGTAGAAGACACTCGTAAGCTACTGGTATTTGACCACAGATGCCTCAGAAATATTGCTGGCGTCTGCTGGGATCACCGGGTAAGTAATAGTGAGGTTAGACGCAAAGTATTAGGGAATGATGGTAATTCAGTTGATTGGGTTGTAAATCTTCATCGATTGAGATGGTTGGAAGAAAGTTAGGGGCGGCCGAACCAAAACGTGGCATCAGTGCTTGAAGACACTAACGTGTAATCTGGGCCATGTTGGTAGATGCAGACTACGTGGTTGGGGTCCGCGTGACTATCGTAATCAATGGTTGGAGACTCTTGGTGACATGTCTCAGAATCGATCAAAATGGTGTCGGTGTATACACTCTCTGTCTTCCCTTAAACTAAGATTGAAATCACTTCATATCTTTCTTTCTACGAAATAATTTTTTCTTCCTGTACTATATCCTTATATGCAATTTTTCATTTATATATTACCACCTCTGAATTAACTACTTTTATGAATCCGGTGTCCATCTTGTTGTGTTAATGAGGTATGGCAACTTGGACCGATGCATATATGTGCCTGGTCCTACGTTGTAGCTGACTGACTGACTGACTGATTATCTTCTTTTTACACATTACTTCCATTGAAGTGACTACTTCTATGAATTTGATGTTCATCTTATTGTGCTAATGAGGTGTTGCAACTTGGACCGATGGATACATGTTCCTGGTCCTACGTTGTAGCTGACAGAATGACTAACTTTGAATATAAGTACTATTAAAATATCATCATAAGCTATAGATATTTTATTCAGTATAGAAAACTCAGTCCTCTAATCAAGACCATATAAGATGGTATAAGTATTTTCTTCAGCTAGTTAAGTTATTTATATCATACATTTATTTGATGAAGGAATCAGTTCTCATTCGCCGAATTAAGGTAATTTTTTCATCTTATTATTACACTCAATCCATTTCAACAGGTTTTTTGATTGTTTACAACTTGACTGGTCTAAACACTGTACAGAATGTTAATTATGTCTTTTTAAGTGTTTGTACATGACCCAAGTTAATACATCCGATTCCCAACTAATAATTCTCAAGTTCGACCCGAGCTCTAGGTGTTTGAATTTTAGTAACAGGATAGTATCACTAGTTCTTACATAAATCTGCCACAAATCTCATTCTGATAAATGCATCACATGCGATCATATCGTTTTACTATCAGGCAACGATATTCCAATACACTCCGAAATATAAGTTTTTTTTAATTCATGATAATTTTACCTCTATTTCGCACATTGTTTTGTTCTGGTCCTAACCAAATAAAAAACCTTTAGATGTTACATAGTATTATTTCAATCTACTTCGTTGTATCGCATACTAAGTTGGTATATTAAAATCTAAATATATATTGTAAATGACAACAAATCACTAAATAGGATCGTTTTTTTCGAGAAATTTGTTTTGCAGTTTCATGTAAACTTCCGTTTATCAGTTATAGATTTTTTCATTCAATATATTTTCATCTAGTTTTATAGCCTTGTATTTTGCACTATTAAACGTTGTTTAGTCTGTTTGTTGTTTTTTCTATTGGTATTCATAAAGTTATAGCATGTGATTATTGTATTATTCGGTTAATTTTAGTAAATAAATATGACGTGTATTATTGATTATGTTCAGTTTGGGGAATAATACATTTTTGTAAGCGAAGTTGCTAATATGTTATTCCAACATTAAGTATTAACGACCTGAAGTGTATTGTAAACATTTCATCGTCAATAAGCAAAGATGGATGGTGACTAGCGGTGGAATCCAGAACGCGCGTCTCATACTATTTGGGACTCATCGGCTGGATGTGCCCACACCCCTCATTGTTTAGTTAATATTATCAGTTGTTTTCCATGATATGGCTCCTTATTTTTTGTGATTGTATCTATGAGGTTATATTGGTCTTGAGTTTTCTATCGGTGGGTTACGGGTTCGAATCTCCTACTTGCAAACACTATTCAAGTATGGTGTTAATACACTGACAAGATTATCACTACCTTCGAGTCCGCTGACTTTTGGATACAGGTCTTTGACAAATAATGCGTTTGAATCAGCGTTTACTTTTATACGTTAGATTATATATAACTGTCATATGAACCGATAACAGCACGTTATTGTATGTAAAGGATTTTTATTATTACCCTCTATTCTAGACTCTGTAAATGATTTACTGACGGTGGCTTTGTAAAACAGAACTTTCAATTCAGTCGTTTCCGCCTTTTTAATTCATTTGTGAGAGTATTATTTGACCTCACGATCCCTTTCGAAATTGATTTTTATATTGATATTTATTTCCACAAGGTATAGATTAACAATTAATCTTGGTACATCATGGTACTTTTTAATTTCAAGGTATGAGACTACTACTGGTTCACTCAATAATGATTTATTGACATAATTTATAATAAGTCATTTTAAGATGTTTTGCTAAGTTGATTTGTACATGTCTAAGCTTTTTTACTACTTTGTACGATTTCAATAGTGTCATTCTTTAATTAAATTGATCATTAGTTATCTCTCGCCCTTGTAATACAAGGAAATCACTTGGTTTATCATTTTATTTTTGTACCCAGAGTATCGCTAATCCGTGTTTGCTACCTATGGATGATCTTGAGTCAGATATCAGTCAGGCAGATCGTGGATGTAAAACAGAAAATGACGACAGTGGAATTTGTTATACACCAAGTAATTCAGTTTTAGCAAACAAGTTTTTATCAGCCGATAATGTAGATATTGACTCCAGCACACCTTATTCAGAATTTTAAATGTGAGGAAGTGTTAAAGATCATTTCTTTTCAACTAGTCATAATTTGTTTTTGTTTCGAATCCTAACTAACCCGTTATCTATATATTTTCAAGTGATTTTGATCTATATATTTTTCTATTTGTTTCTTCATTTTTTTGGCTATAAATGATTTAAACTGAGCATAAATTTTTGGTTTCGTTAGTTAGTAACAAAATTATGTTCTTTTCAAACATCTAGCACTTTGAATTATTCCACAAAATACAATCCAACTGTTTCTGCAGTAAAGTTTTGTTATATGACGTATGTTGGACATTTTATAAAACCTATTGCGCATTATTTAGTACATAATAAATATATAGGGAATTTTGTAGGCACTTTGTTCGACGTTTCTCATAGATTATTTTAAATACCGTTATAATCTTAAGTTTCTAATCTGTTTAGATTGATATGTTTGCTAAAAATCCTAATCTGTTAAATGCTATAGTTTTGCACCACAATATACAGTTGCAACTTTTCTTATGTTCCCAGTATTTAAGGTATTAATAACCTCCCTATTGTTTTGCTACAATTCTAATCTCATCTCTGCAAAAATCAACCACGAGTAAGTAATCATTGCTTTGTATTAGCGTTAATTGCGGCAGGTTTTGTCCTAAGGTTTAGTAACTCGGTTGTTTAGAGTTGGTATTCATTTTTACAGTCACCATCAGCACAACCAGTAGTAAATAAGAACATGCAGTAAATATGGTCAGGCCTAAGTATAAATGTAAACGTAATGTGTTGGCGGCGGATTATACTGATTCACCTACCTAATTATGTAACTCCTGACATCCAGGATAGTAAAAGACTTTGATTTTATTCTGTGTAACGGACTAAATTTCGCTTTCAGTTGAGGTCCTGCATCTAAGTGATCACATACTATCTTTTAGTTTCTATTTAGGTCTTTATAGTTCGCAATCCATTTGCTCATTGAAATCATCTTTACTCAAAACTTTGGTGGGACTGTTTGTTCTCCGTGATTTATCTGGATAGTGGGTGTGTGCAGTTGATTGAGCTGTAGTTCAATCTTCATGACGAAGAATTATGTTACTATTTAGTCCCATGATATCTCATTGTTCAATCTCCTTGTTATGATCTCATTCAGACCCAGCTACTCTTATTTCTTAGTATTCTTTCGAATGCTAGTTCACTCTATAAGTCCACAAGTCAATACACAGTTGATCAGGAACGTAATTATCTTTCAAATAACAAGGTAGAATGGGAGGAAAAAGCATAATAGGGGAAACCACTGTTTATGTGTAATTTTACATAAGGAGATTCTAGAATTCTCTTCAAGTATCGACCAGTGCTGATGGGCCAAGAAATGGCCACTCAACGTGTTCCAACACAATTCTACACGGAACAAGCTTTGATTGAATCTATATTCCGCTGACAATCCTTCTACGCATTGGCACTGAACATAACTTGCGAGGGAACATCTGTAGTGTTTAGGGCATGTTCATGAAACTGTACCCACCTTTTTCGCAGTATGTAAAATTCACTGAAAATAAGATGGTTGTAGTTTCTTCCCATTCCTTCGAAGAGGGTTCCTCATCTACTTTGTGACCAAGGACTATTCGTATCTCGTTATATTTGGTTAACGATCCCTATAGCTAGGCAGGTAGTACCTTGGTAAACGAAAACAATCAGAAACATTTTTAGTGTTGTGTGAAGTCCCCCAGTAAACATGGGGTCTCCTCTCGAAGAAATGGATAGCTATTTGATTCGCTTCGAATGGCATTGGATCCCAAAGCTTGAGTACTCATGCAAAATATGAAGTTGTCAACCCAGCTTGCTTCGTCACACTTCCAAATTTTGACTACCTCTGTGGTTTGTGTTAAGACTGGATACAAACAAGTACTTACTTACGCCTGTTTCTCCCAATTAAGCATAGGTCGCCGATCAGCATTTCTCAACCAACGCTGTCCTGGGCTTTCTTTTCTAGTTCCGTCCAATTCTTGTTCATTTTTCTCATATCTATATTTCCCGGCGTAATGTGTTCTTTGGTCTTCCTCTTTCCCTTTGGCCCTGAGCATTCCAAGTGAGGGCATACGTTGTGACGCAGTGCAGTGCTTTCATCAATATCCATCCTATCCACTTCCAGCGCTTCCTGATTTCTTCCTCCGCTGGGATCTGGTTTGTTGTCTCCCACAGTACGTTGTTGCTAATAGTGTCCGGCCAACGGATCTGAAGTATTTTGCGTAGACAACTGTTAATAAACACCTGTATTTTCTGGATGACGGCTTTCGTAGTTCTCCAGGTTTCTGCCCCATACAGTAGAACTGTCTTGACATTTGTATTGAAAATCCTGACTGGTGTTGGTTGACAGTTGCTTTGAGTTCCAGATGTTCCTCAGTTGTAAATATGCTGCTCTTGCTTTTC